CAATCCAGTTACCATGAATTTCAATCTAGTTACCATGAATGTGACATTCTAATAGTCTAATATCTTTTCTTTCCTTGACATTTGATCCCTTTTTTAAGAATTAAAAAACAATTGTGAAACCTTTTGTTTTCAAAGGAAGGCCTGATGGCGAGGCCTGATGTCGATCACCGGTGAGTTCCAGAAGAGACCGGTCCCCCACAGTGATGTCCACGCAAACCCGGAGGGTGCAGATTTGGCTGTTGGCCCTCACAAGTCGCCAAATGGCATAGAACATGAAAAGCATCTGGGCACTCCTCCCAGACTCAAACATGACATAGCTCAGGCAGGAAAAACTTAGGGAGCGCGCCTAAGTCATGAAGCTTAAAGCAGCCATATTTTCCCTTTGGGCACGATATTGAAAAGAACACATTTTAATGTAATTGTTTGAAGTCATGTACTGGCAGAACGACCACAGCTCCTATGTCATCCTGCTGTGTACTACACTTGGCAACCTTGTCTACTGACTGATAACTTAAACACTGTGGCCCGAAACCGAAACCTATCTCATTAGCCCAGCAAATTCCTGTGTCAGCAGCCCTCAGTATAATTGCATAAAATATATGCCCACCCCATCGATGCGCGGTGTTTCTGTTTTTTGTCCTTGTACTCTTTGCGTGGCATCGTGGAGACCAGCTGAAACGTCTCCTTCGAACACAAAAGGAGAGACTTCCGCCCAAAACCCGTTGGAGCACTTGATAGAGACACATGAGCAAACAGACGATTGAAACAGTGTGATGACCTGTGGACCATATATGACAGTATATATAATACATGTTCATACACACACAGACATGCAGGTATTGTCATACATACCGAGATCGATAGATCAAATATGATCAAACACAGTATACATTGCATATAGAAGGGGGAGAAAACAACCAAATGCTTGAGACACATCTGTCGAGTTCATTGTCTATACCAGCGGCATTTCATCAAAATGGTGAGGCTCGGCCCTTCTCTTCCCCCAACGCTGACCTCACTGACATCGACCCTTCAAAGAGAAACCATGTCGACCCTTCAAACATCACGAGATGTTTCCTTCGTAGTTCAGAGGCCGAAGCGCGACCCGGTTCTGCGGAACCGACTGTGACCAGTGAAAAGGGGCGCCCTAGCGGCCGGCGAAGCCAGCAGGATCGAAGGTCCACATGTTCCAAAGATTCCACTGATCCGAATGTGATAGTTCCTGGGATTTTCCAGTTGATCTGCAACAACCCCGTCAGCACCAGGCTCCCACCTCGGATGACAAGGGCAAAAGGCCCTCGACTTCAAGGTAGTCATAGACCTTTCCGTCGTTGCGGTGTTCCACACAACACGGGTGACTAGGCCTTGTGCAGTCTGGTCAGGTCTAAAATCTGTATCTTGGCCCAAAGATTCCAATGATCCATATGTTCAATTGCATTCAGATGTATTTTATATAGATCCAAAAGGAACAGCAACTTTCAGCATGCACGTTCTGTTCGGTTCTGTTCCTCCTTGCTTTGTGAACAGATTCAAACATGTAGAGGAAAAAGAAACAAACAAAGCTGGGCAATGTCATCTCAAGTAAAGGGCTTGGAGCACATGCCCGTTCCAGGAACCATGAGAACTCTGCAGATCGCTGCCTGTCCCACCGTGTTTGACGACAGGAAGCGTCGCCTGTCGACCGAGGCAACCCGTTGGACCGAGCCATAATATGATGGTGGGAAGGTGGGTTAGGCAAATTTCGAGTTGGCACAAAAACAACTACCCCCGAAATCAATTGGGTCAAACTCAGACTGCTTCAGGTATACCCACGCAACAAAACACACACACACACATGCACACTTGATATGGAAGAAGCGAAGAGCTTTCTGGAGGCAGGGTAGCCAAGGACCTCTTGCTCTTGAGAATGCGGCCTGGTTGGGCAAAGGTACTCACGACACCATCGATGAATGACATATAAAAAGCGTTCCAAAACATCTCGCTGGGTTCCTCACCAGCCCACGATTTGGGTTGATTTTGTGCGTTTGCACAGAGCGAGAAGCAAATTATATCTATGAAAACGGGGCGCCGAAACAATCGATGACAATGTTTTCCACATAACAACCACGACCCAACCTGCCCCTGAAAGAGGGGCAACTACCGCGTACGCCCTGTGCACAGGCAAGCAGTGTCTTTCTAGGACAGTATGGGTATATCCCCGGAGCCTTGAGGAATACGACAACAATCACCCTGTGTGGTAGGAGTGCGCCACTACATCCAGAAGCCACACAAAATCACCCCCACCCCCCACCCCCATTTTATCCTACGACTAACCGATGACAACATCATACAACATCCATACATCGGTGACAATATTGTGAAATCGATGACATTGTGAAACTGAATGTTGTATAATATCTGATGAACTCGATGACCATGTTCTCCACCGAGATGCCAGAAAAAGATAGAAAATTGATGAAAATTGCATCAAAGCACAAATCGCCCAATACGCGGACCAGTAACACAGCCGACAGCATGTATGATGTGTCCGCATGCTGGGTCCTCAGCTTGCCAGTCGCCATAACAGCATAATATAGCACAATCAACTGCAGGTACGTCTAGAAGGCGTCCCTTCCAAATATCACGGCCCACACCCCAGAAACACATCCAAACACCTCTACATCCGTCCAGGTGCCTTCCTTTGTCTCTTCGAAACTAGTTCTCCCCCACCCCCGGTGCAGTCGGCAGAACCACCTGGCGCGGGTGCCATCGAGCCCACGGATCTGGAGGTCCACCCTCTCAGGCCTCGGTACAGGGCGATTCGCGCGGAGTCGGAGGTACGGGGAGACAGGGGTGCATATCCTAGTAGCGTTCTTGTTCCTAGTAGCGATGCTCTTTGCTCCTGGTAG